TGACATGAATCACACTCTAGAGTGAACAAGTGGATAAACCAGGTACCATATTTTGAAGTTTTTACAAAGTGAGATGTCCCAACCATTTATGTGATAAATCTGGTGAATCGGTAACAGAATAAGTTATTGAAAGAAGACAAGATGTGAGTCCATGTGATTTAGCAAGGATAAGGTATAAAGTTCATTTGATTCACACCCGTTCCTATATTAAAGAAAAGTCATCAAGAAATAAAAAAGAGCATTTAAGTAATTTGGCTATGCGATTAACGGCTATGAGATTAAAAGGACTACCGGAACATAAAGAACTGAATCTGAAAGTAAGGAAGGAAGTGGACTTGCTTGACCTATTTCAGTTGCCATGGTTTGAGACCCGTTGGCCATTGTTACTGTTGGAAGAGATTGGGAGACACAAGTCACGCTATTACCTGTTTGAACAGCGGAAGCTATCTCTAAAGATGTCTGTTTACATGCTTTATACTGAAAGAACTCAATATAATCCGGTAGAGAAACCATCCAACTATTCATAGTATTGGATCTCATTTTGCTACAACCAATCTCTCAAATTCTTGACTAAAGGTTGTATGGTTAACCTTGGAATGCCAAATCAGAACAAGTTAAGTTGGAGATTTTTTTTCTTTGGGAAAACACTATTCACACAAGAAAAAGCATTGTTCCTCTGGAACACTGTTTACTTGCCGGAAAATAAAAAAGTTGTCAGAATTTGGTGTAACCTGGATTGGTAGGCTCGGAAACACCTTGCGACCAAACTGTCCTCAAAGTTTTGCGGGAAAATAGCTGGAAAGGCCTGCACGTGCCGGCAGAACTGTAGCTTTTGACGGCGCGTGTCAGCGCGTGTGACGTCTGTTGCCGGAGATTCTGGCAGGGTTTTGCTAGCCAGAGGAGTCTTAACCTTGTGGTGGTGTTGGTTTTCGCACAATACCAACAGAAAAGGAACTGACGCCGGACAGCCACCGGAATTCGCACAATGACGAGGTTTTTTTCTTCCTGGAGTCGCTGGTATTTTTGCACATCGATAAATCTCTCACGTACGTTCTGATACCACGTGAGAAAGCACGAGAAAAATATTATTTATCTTCTATTAAGTGTTTTGCAATAGCCTTATTTATAACTATACACTATACATATTCTACTCCTATTCCATATGGGATTAGGGTTATTTACATAACTATCTAACAAACCTTGTTATGGTGTTGGTTTTCGAACAATACCAACAGAAAAGGAACTGACGTCGGACAACCACCGAATTTGCACGATGACGGGGTTTTTTTCTTCCTGGAGTTGCTGGTATTTTTGCACATCGATGAATCTCTCACGTATGTTCTGATACCATGTGAGAAAGCACGAGAAAAATATTATTCATCTTCTATTACGTGTTTTACAATAGCCCTATTTATAACTATACACAATACATATTCTACTTATATTCCATATGGAATTAGGGTTATTTACATAACTATCTAACATGAATCACCAAACCAATGTCAGAATTCTCAGAGTATATTGATGATATGGAGTTGATCGTACCACAATGGGAATGGGAAGGGGGCAACTACACATGGTTTGGGGGAATATAGGATTGACAGGTTCCTGGTGACAAAGGATTGGGATGATATGTTCAGAAATATAGAAATCCTACCAGAGTTGTTTCAGACCTCTCCACTAGTTTTAAATTGTGGTAACTGGGAGACAACCAAATCTTATTTCAAGTTTGAAAATTGGTGGCGGGAGACTGAAGGTTTCAGTGATAGAGTAAAGATTTGGTGGACCTCTTTTGATATTACGGGAAGACCAGACTATATTTTAGCAAGAAAGCTGAAAGCGCTCAAAAGCAAATTGAGAGGCTGGAGCCTGAATACTCATGGCAATCTAGAGAGGGAGAAAAATGCTATCTTAAATCTCAGTATCTTTCTCTGGGAGGCAGGGTGATTTAATACTCTTTTGGATGTACTCCCTATCTATATGATGTCCTTTTTTCCCCTACCTGTTAGTGTGGAAAAGAGGTTAGACGCATTGAGAAGGAATTTTCTATGGCAGGGAAATAAAGAGAATAGAGACATTCATTTGGTTAAATGGAAAAACTTGACCATCAGCAAAAGAGAAGGGGGGCTGGGAATCAGAAACTTGGAAAAACAAAACAAATGTCTGTTAATGAAATGGTCATGGAGATTCACAAGAGAAGAACATGCTTTATGGAGCACTGTGATAAAAACAAAGTAAGGCAAAGAAGGGTTCTGCTGACTAGCGAAGTGACAACTCCTTAGGGTATTAGTCTGTGGAAATCTATTAGGAATTTGTGGCTACATCTCAAAGGCAGAGTGAAGTTTAATATGAAAGATGGTAAAATTTTGTTCTGGAAGGATAATTGATTGGGAAATGAGTCTAATGGTGATGTTCCCTGATCTATATGGTTTGACTCTACAACAGGAGGCCACTCTAAGGGAGGTTTGGTCCACACATGAATGGAATCCAACTTTCAGAAGATTACTTCAAGATTGGGAAATACCAAGGATAATCGAGTTTTTTACTACTTTGGAACAGAGCAATGGGCTGCATGAGGGAGAAGATACACTTAGATGGCAAAGCCATTGTAGTGGCAACTATACGATTAGCTCAGCTTACAAAGATCTGAACCAGGTAAGATCTCAGCTCACGTTTTGGCCTTGGAAACATATCCGGAAAGTCAATGTGCCATACAAGGTGGCCTGTTTCACTTGCTTAGTAGCAAGAGAAGCTATTTTGACTCAGGATAATCTCATACGGAGGGGATTCCAACTCTGTTCAAAATGCTCCTTGTGTGGACAGGAAGCAAAGATAATCAACCATATGTTTTTACATTGTAGAATTACTAGCCAGCTATGGGACTTATTCATTAGTCTCAGAGGAATCAGATGAGTAATGCCTGGAAGAACTTTTAATGTGTTGACATACTGGAACAAAGGTAGAACCTATACCATGAACAAAGACAGATGGAAAATTGTCCCAGCAAGCATTTGTGAACAATATGGAAGGAGAGAAATTCAAGATGTTTTGAAGATACAAGCAGCCCTTTACAGAAAATCAAGAAGAATAGTATACTTCTTTTCAGTTTTTGGTGTAAATCTGAATACATAGAGGATTCGGAGGCAATTCTAGATGGTTAGATTCCTTGTAAGAAGAACAAAGACATTTGGTTTTTGTTTTTAACCCTCATTCTTTTCTGGTGAACTGATGTAACCTTCTCATTTTGGCTTTCAGCACAATCTTTACGCAGGTTACCATTCTCAAAACAAAACAAAAAACAAATGAAGGATGTTCTTCCTTCCTTAGTGGCTGATACTCAAGCTGAATTTGTTCAAGGAAGGTCATTGGTGCACAATAATCTGATTTGTCAATGACCTACTAAGGTATTACAATAGGAAAACATCTCCTAGATGCATGATGAACATTGTTTTGAGGATGGCTTATGATATGGTTAGGTGGGAGATCATTGAAGAAATGCTGACAGGTTTTGGATTCCCTAAACGTTTATCTAGCTAGTTATGATATTTATTACCTCCACAAAGTTTTCAATGAAGGTGAATGGAGAGGGACATGGCTACTTTGAAGTGAGGAGGGGGCCAATTTCCCCCCTCTTATTTGTCCGTGTCATGGAATATTTTCTCCTAAGTTATGAGCAAGAAGTGCCAACTCCCTGACTTTAGATTCCATCCTATGCGTAAAGGGTTGAATCTGATTCATCTCATATTTGCAGATGACAGAGAGTCAAAGTTCTTAATTTTGACCATGAATTCGGACATAAAATCTCTTAATTTTTTGAAATAAAATTTAAATATTTCAAAACTACGTAAAAAGTACTCTAAGTCACAATAATTAACAATTCAAATATCTAAAAGGCATATGAAAAAATAGTGGTCAAAGAAAAATTCATTTGACTTTCGAAATCCAAATGGTCCCACATAAATTGGGAGTATTCCACTGATCCTGAAAACTAATTTTGACCCTCCAATAACTTAAGTTAGTATAAACTATATTTAACTTTATATCATTTCAGAATTAATGTGAATTTTTTTCAAAACAAACTTCTTTAGTTTCCTTCATTTCTAACTATTATTTCAATAGCTCCTTTACCAAACTCAATATAATAATATTTTGGACGCTATTCTCTCTCAAATTCCCCGAAAGTCAACCCAGGACAACTAAGAAAAGCCAGGAAGAAACACAAAAATGTGAAAAATTATATTTAAAAAACTTATGTCTTTGGCTTCTTTAATGGGTTTTGACTATTGCACCAAAAGCAATAAAAAAAAAGGGTTTTGACTTTGATAATGGAAGTCTCCAAATAAGCACTCAGTATTTTAGAGTGGAAGGAGCTCTAAGTTGGAGTTCAATAGTCAACAAACTATGCCCCATGTTTCCTAAAGACAATCATAAATGGAAGCTTAAATATCATTAAAAGGGGCAATAATTCATACGTCCGAAAAATAGAATATAAGTTATTTTCTGGAAGCATCAAACATTGGTAAAAGTGTAAAACTTCATTGCCTTTTACAATCTTAAGTTTTATGTGCACAAGGATTATAATTCTTCTTTATTTCTTGGAAAACAAAACAAAAGGGGAAAACAGAAAAAGAGATGTAATTTTTTTTTATAAGGTCGACATGAATTTATTTTATGGAAATGATTTCTTTCTAAAAATTCTTTTTCCAATCACATTAATCAGTATCAAGAGATTTAAAGCATCCTAGTTGAAAGCTTATACTCACTTGTCATTTGTAATTTACAAACTCCAAGCTTCTTAATTAAAAGATAAAGAAGCCTGGTGTGAAAAAAATTAAGATATAGAAAAAAGATAAAGAACCCAGCCTTCATACCTGACACACGAAGAGACGCAATGCATTCTTTGACTAATTAACTATATATAGTGCACATTCATGCAAGATAATGAAGGGAAAACTATAGTTCAGACTGATGCAAAGCTCAATCAATTGTTCCAATGGGAATAACCAAAGATCAATTTGCTACAACTAATACTCTGATATAACACTGATACAGATGCTTCAAGCATGCTTATCGAGATAACAATTGGGTAGAGGATCTTGGAAAAAAAGTAGAGTAATCCCAAAGTGTACCTGTTCTAGGTAAAAAGAGACTTACTTCTTGAAAATAATTGATGCATTCAAGATATCTAACACTGTCCAAGTTGCTCTTGGGTCCATCTTCGAAGTGTGTATTGTTGGAAGAACTGTCATTCAAGGCTTCTTGAGATCTCCTGGATCTCTCTGACCGAGGAAAAGTGGATGGCATGTATAAGACATTGAGATAGGAATCAGCAGAGAGAGAATCATCTAAAATGGCTGGTGCACTTCGAGCCAAATGCTCATACCTTGCATTGTTGTCAGAAAAACCAAGATGAGAATTTAACCTTAATTGAGAAGCTAAACATCCCAATAGAGAAATGAGCCGGATGAAGCATTTTTTGTTTATCTCAGTAAGAGTGACCAAAGAGAAGACCTTTACATTATTGACAAAGTTACGCTAGAAAGAATAGCGTTGCTCAAAAGAGAGGTGATGGAAGTTGCAATGAGAAAACAAAATACATGACAACAGCCGAGAGGGCCAAAAGCAACTCCAAACCACTTAAAATTCATTCTTCCAATCACATGGTCTACAAAATCTACTGTACCCTATGCCAGAAACCAGTTAGTAGACTGTCAAAACAGGAAGAAAACCAGATACTATTCAAACACAAAATGACTAACAATCAACATCAATCCGGCACCAGCCGCTGGAGAACAGAAGATTAAAATTCGGTATAATGTAACAGACTAGAAGAAAGTGCACTAAAATTGCAAAAGTTTAACAGCCAAACAATTCAGAAGTTTGGTATTCTAGGTGGAATTCTAAGTTCGCCAAGTAAAATAGAAACATGAACTACCACCGTACCTCTTCCCCAGCAGAAAAAGAAAAGAAAAATACAAAAGAAAAGGATTTATAAATATAAAAAAAGTAAAAGGTTGCTCCATGGTGGTTTAGCAAACTCGAGTTTCCCGAAGAAGAGGGAGCACTTGGTCACCTTCCAGAGTTCGGTGGCCGAGACTCAGATTGATTATTTACTCTGCATGAAGTCCGATAGAGGTATTTGCACGGATTGCAAGGTCATCCAAAGTGAGAACCTCTCGACCCTTCATAGGCTCCTAGTCATGGACCTTGAGATCATGAGGAAGAGGAGGAAGAGGGCGATGTATAGCCAACATAGGATCAAGTGGGGAGCCTTGACGGAAGCTAAAGCGCAGGAGCTGAGGGTCAAGCTGGTGACTATGGGGGATTGGAGGAGTAGTGGGGACGCAAGCGCTATGTGGACCATACCTGCGCAGTGCGTTAGGGAAGTCGCGGGTGAGGTATTAGGGGTCTCAAAGGGTTACTCTGGTGGTCACAAGGGAATCTGGAAGTGGAATCGAGAGGTGCAAGGAAAAGTAGAAACCAAGAAAGCAGCGTATCTGAAGCTAGCGGAAAATGTAGACGAAAAGGAGAAGAGGGCGAATAGGGAGCATTATAAGTTGGCTAAGAAAGAGGCAAAACGAGCAGTTCCAGCGGCCAAGAATGCAGCTTTTAGTCATTAGTAAGAGGAACTCGAGGACCGAGGTGGGGATAAGAGATTGTTCAGGTTAGCCAAGGCGCGAGAAAGAAAGGCGCGTGACTTGGACCAAGTGAAGTGCATCAAGGACGAAGAAGGTAGAGTTTTGTTAGATGAGGGGCTTATCCGTCGGAGATGGCAGACCTACTTCCATAGTCTCTTGAACGAGGAGGGGCACAGGAGCATTGTTCGGGGTGATTTGGAACTCTCCGGGAGTCGTTGTGACTTTGGGTATTGTAGGCGGATTAGAGTTGATGAAGTTGAGGGGACTATGCGTAAGATGAGTAGGGGCAAAGCGACCGGGCCGGATGAAATCCCAGTGGAGTTTTGGAAGAATGCAGGCAAGGCAGGCTTGGAGTGGCTCACTAGGTTATTTAATGTCATTTTTAGAACGAAGAAGATGCCCGAAGAGTGGAGGTGGAGCACGATGGTTCCTGTATACAAGAACAAGAGTGATATCCAAAATTGCAATAACTATCGGGGTATCAAGCTGCTTAGCCATACTATGAAAGTCTGGGAGAGAGTGGTAGAGCTAAGGGTGAGGAAAAGGGTGTATTTCCGAGAACCAGTTTGGGTTTATGCCGGGGCGTTCGCCTACAGAAGCCATCCACCTTGTTAGGAGATTGATGGAGCAGTATAGGGAGAGAAAGGACTTGCATATGGTGTTCATTGACTTAGAAAAGGCGTACGATAAAGTTCCGAGGGAGGTTTTGTGGAGATATTTGGAGGCTAGAGGTGTACTTGTTGCCTATGTTAGGCTGATTAAGGACATGTATGATGGAGTAAAGACCTGAGTGAGGACGGTGGGTGGGGACTCGGATCATTTTCCAGTTATGATGGGGTTGCATCAGGGGTCGGTACTCACCCTTTTTTTGTTTGCGCTAGTGATGGACATCCAAGGGGAGGTGCCGGGGAGCATGCTATTTTTGCAGATGATATTGTATTGACTGACGAGACGCGAGACTGTGTGAACGTGCAATTAGAGGTATGGAGGCAGACCCTGGAATCTAAAGGTTTTAAGTTGAGCAGGACCAAGAGAGAATACTTGAGTGTAAGTTCAGTGGCAAGACTCAAGGGGGGAAGGGAAGGTGAGGCTGGACTCGCAGGTCATCCCTAGGAGAGGGAGTTTTAAGTACATTGGGTCTATTATTCAGGGGGATTGGGAGATTGATGAAGATGTCACACATCGTATTGGAGCGGGATGGATGAAGTGGAGACTCGCTTCCGGTGTTTTATGTGACAAGAAGGTGCCACCGAAACTTAAGGGTAAGTTCTACAGAGTGGTGGTCAGACCAACGTTGTATGGGGCTGAGTGATGGCCAGTCAAGATCGCTCATGTCCAGAAGATGAAGGCAACAAAGATGAGGATGTGGAGATGGATGTGTGGGCACACCAAGTTAGATAGGATCATAAATGACGTTATTCGCGACAAGGTGGGTGTGGCTCCTATTAAGGACAAGATGCGGGAAGCGCGGCTTAGGTGGTTTGGTCATGTGAGGAGGAGGAGCATAAATGCCCCGTGAGGAGGTGTGAGGTTGACATTGGAGGGCCTACGGAGAGGTAAAGGTAGGCCAAAGAAAAGGTGGGGAGATGTGATTAGGCAAGACATGGCGCGGCTTCAGCTGACCGAGGACATGACCCTTGATAGGAAGGTATGGAGGTCGAGGATTAAGGTAGTAGAGTAGGTAATCTAGAGTGTTCGTAACAGTAGTATTGGCACATAGTCACGCTTTATGTGGGCAGTAGGTTTTTATGACTAACCATTGTTTTCTTTCATTGTGGATTACCTTATTACCTTGTTGTTTTTATTCTGCTTTTATATGGCTTTTTGGTACTGTCCCTTCTTGTCTATATTTTCATTAATGTGGTGCTCATACTTTCCTGAGCCGAGGGTCTATTGGAAACAACCTCTATATCCTCACAAGGTAGAGGTAAGGTCTGCGTACACACTACCCTCCCCAGACCCCACGAATAAGACTGGGTATGTTGTTGTTGTTGGTTGCTCCATGGTGGCAGCAAATGATCTTTCTCCTAAATGCACAGCCCAAATAACAGAAGACATACTATTAAAAAACCTAGAATATCATCGAAGAAAAAATTACGTTTAAACCAAATTTGATGTTGGATTTAAATACTATCTCTCATAAGATGTGGCTTTAAAAGAGTCTGATCATCCAACCAGAATCCTTAAGACCATTGGTATAGTAGCTCAGGACGTTATAAATCCCTTTAGAACCATACATAATCCATGTAGGACATGTTTTTAACACCCTCATGCATGTGTAACCTGATTCAATGGTTTACACGTGGAATGAAGACCTTTTTTTTTTGTGAGAAGACTACAGCGGCTCAAGGGGCTGACGGTTAAGGAGTGAGCTTGGACCAGAATGAAAAGACTCGACAAACTAAGGAGTGGTTCTAGAACAGAGTTAATCGCTCGATGAGCTGAACTCAGAGAGAGGCACAAAGCAGCTCGATGGATTGTGTTGAGAGAGGAGTCCAGAAAGACAAGAGTCGGTATAGAGAAAAGATGTGAAATCAGCCTACCAATGTGAAAAATCTCAGCATCCAACCCCAATACTTTTAAGGCAATGGGTGGAGTAGCTCGGGCATTATAAATCCCTTAGAACCCCTTGCACAATAAATCTAGGACATTATTTAACAATGACATCTTATAAATATAGCACTAGCCCCTAAATGATGCTACTTTAAAATAACCTAAGAAGAAGAGGAGATCCAACTGCATGCATAAAAGAAAGAACAGGACCAGCATTTGCAGATAAGATATCTCATGTCTTCCTCATATTAAGTCACCAATATATACAGACAAAAATATTTACTATCTTACATGGACCGAACAGATGAAACATCTACCGGTGGACCTCCTTCAATGGTGCCAATTATCTCCATTATAACAGTTGCAGCATCACCCTTGTACAATTGAAGTGCTTGCCTAGAAATTGTCAAATGGTAAGAACAGTACAGAGACGAGAATTCAAAAAAAGGGTTTTGTTGGTGGTTGACAAAAAGTAGGAAATAATATTATTCCTACATACTTAAATTTCACACGAGCTTGTGCATAGCGCTCCATCCTAATCAGAGCATGACCCCATGCATTCCACACAGGAAAAACATCAATCTGAGAGTAAGTTGCCAATTAGAATTTACTTTATGGTGCAAAGAGGACAATCATGCACATAAAAAATTTATCTTCCATACTACCTTACACTTCTTGCAAGTGTAGACAGCCATGCTGTATCTTTCATCTAGAGTTAATCTATTCCGAAGTCGCTCAGATGACTCTTTATCAGCAATATCATCCAGTGACGCAGCTATTCCGGAACCCAAAAGACTTTGCAGCAATTCAGCACGTCCTAGCCACGTCTCAGCTTGTGCCAGTACTTCAGACAGCTCATCAGTCGACTGACTACCCACACTAGAGCTTGCAGCATCAGAAGATGCATCATCAGCATCCTTACTTCTTTCTGAACTACTTGACAAGTCAGTGCCCCCAGAAAGCTTTCTAAGGAGGGATTTTGCGAAAAGCAGGCCCTACAAGATCAAAACTCAACATATTACTGCACTATTTCATGAATATTTTCATTTAGTCTTACATTGAATGCAGAGTAGATACCTGAACAAAAGTTTCTGTGGCATGATATGCTCGGCCAATAGTTTCCATTGTTGCATTCTCAGGTAACTGTAGGGAGCTTAATACACTTTTCATCTGGCCAACACACAAGTCCAAAGCACCTTTGGCAGATGCACTCTCATCCGAACACATTGAAAGCAGTGCCTTAAATCCAAAGTAAAAATATTAAGAATTTCAGAAAGAAAAGAAAAGGAACAGTCAAATTAGCATGTTTTAGAGTGCAGAACATAATTAGAATAAGAGCAATTCCTGAAAGCATAGATACAGAAAAAACTGAGTCTCTTATTCGGACAATCTCAAACTCCAGGCCAGAAAGGTATCGCTTAATACCCACAAGAGAAAAAACAGAACGTGTGCAATTCAAGGCGTAAATTCTGCTTTCATGACATAGGGCTCACATTTTGCAATAAAGAGGGGTAGTGTCATGAAAATATTAACGTCCTGCACGTCAAACCATCCCAATCCAAAATTCACATCAGCCATTTAAGATCAGCATGAATTATGCAACCACTCATTCTTTCTCTCCAACTATCTACTTATAACAACAATACTTAGACAATGAGAAATTACCCGATCAAATAGTCATGTTTACCAGACACATAAAATTAGAAATGCTCAGTATTACACATTATTGAAGAAATAATTAAATGAATAGAAGTGTGTTCTTTCTTACAGCTTAAGCTATTAGATGAGATGATCACACACTTCTCTACAATCTTGGTAGAGACTCAAATAGCTTCCGTTACCGGCGGGCAGTATCGGCCAATGTGTACTGCCCGTCTGGCCAATGTTTTCTTCTTTTATTCTTCCTTTAAGTGCCCGATGATGCTCCTGTCTTCGGCAACCGGTGCCCTTATCTCTATATGACCATTCAAGCACCTCTCCTTTCTCTAGGATCGTTCAAGTACCGATCATCTCTCTGGTGATCGGCGCTGCTACTTTTAACGGGGCCAACGCACTCCTCTAAACGTTAAATTTCTTGTTATTGTTCTGCCAATTGAAGTTACAGATGATGTTCTGAGATGTGCAAGACCATATTCTTTTTGGTGATTGAGAATAGATTCCTTTTCGTGAATAGTGCAAAAAGCACTTTCTTTCGCTCTACCATTACCAACTGATTTCCGGAGGAAGGAATTCCAGCGCCGTTTTTCTTTTCGTAATTGTGCACTATTCCAGCGAGATTTAGGCATCAACTTTTTATATTTTCAAAATAAGCAAACCCAAGTTGGTTTCCCCCACTTTGAGTTTGCTATACTCATTGTACTTGAATAAGGAAAATAATATAATAATCATATAGTTTATATATGATACCTTAGGAAATTATGTATTTAATTATATAATTACCTAACTAGCATATGGATTGATTACCTGAATAACACCATTCTCAAAAAAGAAACTTTCTAATGCAGAGAAGAGTAAATTTGCTACTGCGGAAATTAAAAGGAAGTACTTAATTCTAGGTGCGACAAAAAACAATTAGCAATGCAACAATTCTTTTCCGCCTATGAAAAATCAGAATCAATAGCTTTTCAGTTAATAGAGGCAAAAGAACCACCTCAAAACTTGTGCCAGGTGCGGTCCAGCAGAAACATACTGATTAGAGAAAATAACCATACCTTGAAAAGAGTAATATCCGGGATACTTTCATATCGATGCGATGAACGGACAGCTTCATCCTTCTTGGGGTCACCTGTGAGCATCCACATCTCAGCAATAGCAACAGCAGGCAGCCGTTCTTGCCCATCTGCAGAAAATAATGTAACACGGTCTTCCTGAATGGAAGTAGTTGGCTCCCACGCCACTCTCTCAGATTGCATTACACCAGAGCTCTTTCTCTTCCTATGTGTATCCTTTGATGCACCTTTGTCTCCAGTTTGGACCCAAGAAAATGCTCTGCGGGCCTCTTTTTGAAAATTACTAAGGCTACTAGTGAATGATGACCTTGTAGGTGTTCCCATTTTTGTCTTCTGTCTTGCTCTTGGAGTCAAAATTGAAATCCTCGGATCCCTGGAAGGAGAACTAATGCTGACAGCGATAGCTTTGGCAGCATATATAAGAATCATATTGTTGTCTCTCAAGGAAGGGAATTCCTTAAGTATCTGCAAGAAAAAAACCAAGACCACGTCAAAGATAATGACAAAAATGAAAAAAATAACCTTCTCTACACTTGCAACTTATTACCAGAGATGCAGATTGAAGTTGTTTTCTCATCAGCAAAACTTCTAGAATCAAATGAGGGTGCTCGTGTAGGGGAGAGCATTTTTGCTGCAATGGTAATGGCAAAGCAGCCAGAACACGTAACCCTAAAGCCCAGGAGTTGAGCCTGGAAACTTCCGACTCTGATAAATTATTATCCCTTCTTTTCAGGAAAAAGTGAACCTTCAGAGAAACAAAAATAAAATAAACTAAAAAACTGAATTATTTGCAAGGAGAACTTTTAAAGGCTGATAGCAATCAATTTCAGAGCAACTCTGATAAAGAAATGTTATAGGAGGAAACGTCATTACAAGAAGCTGTTTTGATCGTAGGTTGGGCAAAAGCTGCATTGCACTCATTGCAACAGGTAAAGCATCTGCAGTGTCACGTAAAGAAGAAAGAAAACGTGAAGCTTCTGCAGGGCCTCCACCGTTTAAAGGATCTGCTGTTAGAAGCTTCACAAGTTGACGCCCCTGCAGCTCTCTGCGCAGTTCAATAGATAGCCCTTCACTTTCAGCCACTTCTAAAGCAGCAGAAACAGCTCCCTTCTCAGCTAGTCTAAGGGCAAGACCCTCAGGATCTTCTTTACACTCGGACTCCACCTAAAAATTCAAAAGAAATGCTTCACATGAGATGAAAAGGTGAAAACCTATGTTACTCGGACTCTTCAAAAATGTTGTTGGGTGCGTGTCGGATCCTCCAAATTTAGTGCATTTTTGGAGGATCCGACATAGGTGCAGCAACAGTTTTGGAGAGTCCGAGCAACATAAGTGAAAACAAACACGGGGAGAGAAAAAGAAGAGCTCTAGAAACACGAACAAGATTATAATCTTACAGTTTCCTAAAATCTAACTAATAATAAGCAAGGAATGAGCTAATAATAACCTCTAGCCAGCTGTGGAAGCGGTTATCTGCACTTAATATATGGCTGTACCTCTGGAGAGCTTGTCTCATCTGAACAACCTAGTTGTACCATCAATGCATCAAGAAAACAGATATAAAGTTAGCATTCCAAGGCAAATCCAAGTACATATAGATAAATCAGATACAAAAAATAATGCCTAGAAATAGCAACAAGTGTAAGATTACACAACCGCAGTACGGGCATACATTATCTTTAATAGGATCATTTCCAAGCAAGTGGCAGCTGCACATAGTGAGAACATCCAAAGCAGCATCCAGTTCCCATCTATGCAAATATCTGGAGTACACAAAAAAATAGAGCTGAGCTTTCTAAATATCAAACTTCCAGAGCAAACCTAATCTGTGTGATAGTCTGAGTTTAAAAATAAATAAATCAATTAATAAAACTAAATTATCTGTTAAAATACCAAGATATGCCAAAAATTAAAGAAGCTTCTCACTGAATCACCTTTTGTAGACAAAATGAAAATGTAAAGCAGAGGGCATGTCTGCTCTTGACAAAGGTTCTGTGGAGGTATGCCATTAAGA